TACATAGATTGGCATGGCATCACACAGCCTTCTAAATAGTTTATTTATATACCTATGCATATAAATACTACACTCAACCTTAATCAGAGAAGCTTCTCTTTGTAAAGAACTGCAGTGAATGCGAAAGTGCCTGCACAAAGTTCATAGAATAAGCCATGACTCAACATTCAGCCTTTTAAGAGAGCATCTATACCACCCTTGCCATGGCGGGGAAGAAAGAAGTATCGGAAAAAGTATAAGAAGGCCTGCAAAATGCTATCTTCTGGGAATGACATAGCCATTACAACTATGATCTCACAACAGCAGAGGTTATCTGTGCACAGTGTGTACAAGACTGAGCCTGGCCTCGTGCTGTGGCATACGCCTTTAACCCCAGCACTCAGGGAGGCAGGCCCATCACTGTGAGTTCGAGGCCAGCTGGGTCTGCAAAGTAAATCCAGGACTGCAAAGGCTACACAGAAAAACCCTGGAAAAAAAAAAAAAAAAAAAAGACTGATCCTGTCATCAGTCAGTCACGGCTTTCATGGAGCCAAACCATACCCAACTAAACTTTGGCTACTAGTAAGTTCAGGGGAGAAGCTGCCATTCATTGTTTTTAATCATGTGCCCACAAGTGAGTCCACCAGGCTCGGTTAAACACAGTAAGTAGCAAGGCCAAAAAAGGGGGTTAGGGGATGAGAAAGGGACTTGTAGAGAGGAATAGGAGGAAAATAGTGGAGTGAGAGTCATCATAATTTACTGTGCATAGATGAAGTTATTAAAGACCAACACTAATAAAATTTATAAAGAAATGCTGTGTTGTAAATAACAGCTATGCTTCTGCTGTACACAGAGCACCAGCTAATATGCCATGCGTTAGAGTGAAACAAGCTGAAGCATCACTTCCAGGACTACTTGAAATCCAGACACAAAGAATGTGGGTATTAGAATAGCACATCCTTACAAAATCATAACAATAAATCTTTCTCCCCTTGGTAATATGGTTGAGGGTTGCTTTCATGACCATTGAACCATCTAGTGGGTTTGAGATCTAATCAAAATAGTTGTGAGTGTGAAGTAAAGCAAGATAAAGCCTAACAGATAAAAGACTAAAGCACTAAAACTGGCATTGGCAAGTCAATCCAATTTATATAAAGTAGCCATAGCTGTACAATGTGCACTTACTGCACTTGTGGGCCTTCAAATTTTACTTGTAAATTTGACTACTGTTTGATAAAAAGTAACCTAAAAAAAAAAAAAATGTGTTGGTACATTAGCTTGAAAAGTGAGATCATTTCAAAATCTTTTCCCTCTGCTTAAATGTAACAGCAAACAAATTTTTCAGGACATTCTACTCAACTTAAATTTGATAAAACCAGGAAAATAATGCATACTAGTTAGGAAATCGGCAGCATTTAGGCTGGGTCTTAAAGAATGGCTAATTCTAGTTATTTTCTTTGTGGGTCTCTAGAATCTAGTTTATACCCTCCTCTTGCATGAAATCTTACCATTACACTGCATTTTCTCTCTCCGGAGCTTGTATGAAAACTTGTTGGAAACTGTGAGATTGGTGCCGTATCGCCCGTGCCGTCAGTTACCTACTGTGCTGATCTAGACAAGCTTGTTGACCTTAACAAGCCTACATTCCTTCGTTTTTAAAATAGGGATGATAACTATGGATGCAACTGGGCATTTTGAGGATTACAGAAGACATGCTTATAAAGATGCTCACAGCCTGCCAATATTTTCTGCTACACAATTATCCACTTGATTCATTTGCATTTTGACTCTTCCTAGCATATTTCTGAAATTAACAAATGCTTAATTAAGGGCTTAATTAAGCTACAATAATAGAAATAGAAAGGTGCTGTTGACTAGTGATAGCAAAGTACCCAACCTCAGTGATAGAGGCAGTGGACAGTACCACTGATGAGAATAAAGACTATTGGTGCTGATAATGGGAAGTGAAAGGCTTTGGGCTAGTACAATGGGTTTGTTTATACTGGGGAGTAACAGGAATCCAGAAAGCTACCATACCAAATTAAATTGGAAGGGTGTTGATCGAGGGTGTTGAAAGGTTTTGAACCGTCTGCTGGTGGAGAGTCATGGTTGTAGGTCACATGTGGAAGTTATTTGTGTGGAAATGACCTATAATTCTATGCAGACTTCAAGCTCAGAAATTAACTAGTAAAAAAGGATCCTTATTTCCTTTGTCTTTTTTGTTCACTAGAAAGGATATTTAGCCAAAATGTAGATGGACTTAACCCAGTCAACCATCCAACTCTATAAAATGGCACTTCCTGAAGAGTTGGCTCTTAAGAAATGTGATTCTATGTGAGTTAGCTTCATAAAGGCATATGGAAAGTGATAACCATGGGGCCTCAGTGCCTAGGAGCACTTGCTGCCCTTGGAGAGGACTGGAGTTTGATTCCCAGCACTCACATCAGCAGCTCACAGTTGTCCATATCTTGAGAGGATCTGACACCCTCTTCTGGCCTCTGTGGACATCCAAACATATGACATATATACACATCACATTGTTTTTAATTAAACGAATATTTTATTTAATTAAAAAATAATTTAATTAAAATTATAACCACACAGTAGAGAAACTTTTAGAACCAAACCTTCTAGAAGAAAGAAATACGGTTGTAACCAGGCTTTTATCCACTTTATTGGGTTCTTTTTCCTAACTCCCTAAACCACCCCAAGCCCTTCCAACTCCCTAACACCATGTAAGAGAGAAAGAAGGTTAGAGGATAAAGGGACCATTAATATTGTTAGACTGCTTTCTGCTGATTAGGGGCATCAGGTTCTTTGGGGCAAATTTGATCTTGAGTGTAAGGATATTGCCAACCAGCAAACAGCAAGGCAGCAAGCAGCAGCAGCAGGGGCAACAGCAGCCACATACCCTGTTGGCTCCAGCATTTATTACATACTCTGAAGAGCCCCCAGAATTCCAAACATAAACAATCCTTAGCTGGCAAAATCACACTCCTGCCAGACAAACCATAGTCAGCTGGTGTATACTATCTCAAGGAGCCCTATAACCCACACCTGGGATCAAAATAAAACCGTAACATTTCTGTGTTTAATTAAAAAATTCTTACTACACACAGTCTCTTACACAGTGTGCTGTGAGAGAGTGGTAGGTCTGTGCATTTACTTCCTATAAGTGAAGACCAGGAAAGAGTGAGCTGGCTACAGTGAGGAAGATGGCCGGAACACCAGAGTGGACACACAGTTAACACAGGTTAACACCCAGTTAAGACATAACCCTCTGGCTGTGAGACCTGTAGTCAAGAGGGTTGGATAAAGAATTGGACTTTGCAATGGTTGAGGCATAAAAAGAAGTTAGACAAAAAGAAATATCAAAAAAGGAAATTTTAACAACTTTGATACAAAAATCAGGAACACTTTACTAGTGTTTCAGGATTTGAGGGTGTGCTTTTTCTGTTGTGATACTAGTTTTGCTGTTTTCTTAATAAACTTAACAAACTTAATAAAGTTAACGTTAGTTGTAATGGGTTTAACATTTAGTGATGACACATGTTCGTATTCAGCCCCTTTCTGTTCTAATGCTTAGGACTTACCAGTGCCATTGGATCCTGGTCTTGCTCCAACCAACCTCCCTTTCCTGGCCATACACATTCTATAAATTCACTGTCACTGCACATAGGACGTCCTCCAAACTTAGTGTTTGTCTCACTTGCCATTGCTTTTCTTTTGTTAAGCAAAATTATGTGTCTATTGCCATGTATAAAAGCTGATGTTTTACCGTGTGTGCTTTATATATAACATTCAAAAATATTACTAATATTACTATGATTCCATTTTCTGGTGTCTACAATGAGTATGAAGCATGTAAATAAAACTTGCGCCTGGGCTGGGGTCAGGGTAGAGTACCTTCCCAGATTGGGCTAGGTACTGAGTTACCTCCTCACCTCCTGAGTCCTTTTTATAGTTAACAGCTTATGGGGAAAGAACAGAAAGCACACAGAGCCTGTAGTAGTGAGTGCATTGCTTATGGTGTCAGTGCTCTGCAGGCACTGAAGAGCATGCAGAAGGGCCAGAACTGACCAGGTGCTCAGGCAGCTTGCTTTCTACTTCAGGGGAGAGAGTCAGCCGAAAGAAGCCTCTGGATGTGGAGAAGTTTAAGCAACCAGAATTCCTATTTCTTCCCCTGGTAAATCCTGAGATTGGTGCTGAGTGTGAGGAGTAGGTGCTGGACCTGGTGGGATACACAGTGCAAATGAAAATGACACCGAAGGGGAGCAGTCCAGGGTGAAAGCGCACAGTCTCATGTCGGGGCTCCACATCAGCTCCAGGGTTGTCTACTGCCATGTCGCAGGCTGTGCAGCCACTGAATGCCTTCAGTGGAGCAGAAAACTTAGTAGCGATGTCAGCACTGTCTTTCAGCTGTTGGTGATGCTTGGTCCTAAAGCCTGAGACTCCAGCACCATCAGTGTTTGACCCAGACACATCCTTTTGCACTTTGTAGTCAAGTTATGTGAGCGGAGCCTGTCGTGAAAGCACAGCTGTGCATGCCATTGCCCACATCTATCTGGTGTGATGGTCTGCCCCTGTCACTGTGGTGGCAGTGGCCTTCTGCTCCTTCTTACTGAATTAGGCTTGTTCCTGTCTTCCTCAGAAGGTGACTCACTCCTTCCGTGACCTCTGTGAGTATCATCCCTTCAAAACAGTGCCCTGTCTTACCTGAGAGACCTGCCACCACTTTCTCCCGTCTTTGCTGTCTGTATTACTTCTCACCTCTCGGTGACTTTACATATCTGTGAATGTTATTCTCCCTCTTGAGAGTAACTTCCCTCCAATTAGTCATAATTGGTGTCTTAACTTCAGTGCCTGAAAACATAAGGACTTAGTTGATATTTGTTACATGAATAATGTAAACTTTGGTGGTTGTCAGACCTAACTTACCATTTAAAGGTAATTCTAGAGGTAGCTGAGTTTGGAAATCATACTGAAAAAAAATCTTTAAATATTATTTCTTTTTCTTTTAGAAAAATGACTTGGGACCAGTAGAGAAACTTTCTCTCCGTAAACAGCGGTTCATGCAGTTTTCATCACTGGAGCATGAGGGAGAATATTACATGACACCCCGAGACTTCCTCTTCTCAGTAATGTTTGAGCAAATGGAGCGTGAGTGTTTTTGTTTGTTTTGTTTTTCTTTTTAAACATGAGGGTTGAAAAACCTGTTTTCAAAATTAGTGACAGCTTTTTTGCATTTCAGTTGTTATTATTCCTTGTATTAGGCATTTTCTTGTTATGATGTAACAATTGTAAACTTTTATGTATATATCTTGGAAGTAGTTATATTGTATGGGTTTTTCTAAATGGGGAAAAAGAAAACACAGTTTTTAAGATGCCCAAAAAAGGTTGTTTAATAATTTGACTGGATATCAGTTTTTGGTAGAATTAAGGTTGTAAATTGGGAAGATAAATAAAGTAGATTAATTATTAAGGAGAGCCGTTATCAGAGTTACTGTGTTTGCTGTAAGTTGAAAAATCCGGATGAAAACAATATAACCAAAATTAAAATAACAAAGTACAATTACTTTATAAACAGAAAACTCACAATTATCCCATAATGGCAGAAACCCCCAGGTGTATCACCTGAACCAGCCCCTCCCACTGTGCAACAGATCGTGAATGCACACAGTGCTATAAAGCCTGTCACTCTTCAAAAGGCTGAATTCACTGTAAGCACCTTCTGTACAGCAGAAGGCTGAGGGTGAGGCAGGTGCCAGAGCAGGAGGGGTGCTGAGCAGGAAGGAGAGGACTGACACACAGTTGTCCCCCGACCCCCACATGCATTCCCTGACAGGTGCAGGCACACACACAATAACGTATATGCATGTGTCCCTGTGTGGGTGTGCCCCTGAGTGCACATTCCCCAAAGGCCAGAAGCCTCTGACCCCTGAGCAAGACTCACGGGGGGGAGGGGGGCTTGTGAGCTGCCCAGCACAGGAACTGGGAACTGAGCTCAGGCTTGAAGAAATGGCTCAGCATTCGTTCTACTTTTAGAAGACCCAAGTTCAATTCCCAGCACACACGTGGTGGCTCACAGCTATCTAATTCCTGTTCCAGGGGATCCAGTGCCCTCTTCTGACCTCCACAGACACCAACCACACATGTGGTATGCACATATACGTGCAGGCAGAAAGCTCACACATAACATAAAATGAACACATCTAAAAAGGGGGGGAGACTTGCCCCCCCCCCCGCCAATCCCAGCTCTATGAACTAGAACTCCTTCTAGACTGTTGCAGCCGCACAGGGCTTGCGCTCACAGAAGATGAACGTCTCACGAGAGTCAGTAGGTGCCACTGACAGTGCTGTTGTGCTCAGCTGCACCTGCTTGACGGTCTCAGTCTCCAGAGATGCACAGTATTTCTCCTCTCGGCAGTGTGTGTCTGTGTCTCCCTGAGGTAGAGAAACATTTCCTAAACAAGATAAAAGTTCCTAGCCAAAAGAATGAGATTCAGCCATATTAAAATTGAACTTTCTTATCAAAAGTTGCCTTAATGAGGAGCTGGTGACGGTTTGGAGTGTGAGTCATGGTACAGAGGTGTAGTTTGAGATTCTTCCCAGGGTGTGCTCAGTCATCCTCGGGGTGTCCACTGCGTAATCCACATGTACACCAGTGGGGCCAAGGGAAAGGAGTTGCCCGACACCAGTGGTATTTCATGGAATGAGATAGACATGTCTCTGGAGTCAGTCGCCACCCAGGGGCCTGGAGAACATTGACTAAGGAAGCACTTTCCTGGCTGATGAAAAAAAGTTCTCAGCTATGGTCATCTGTTCCCTCTAGAAGACTATGCAGCATATTATATGCTATGTGCATGTTATGTGATGCTTAATAAAAAAAAAATTTAAGTTGCCTTAAAAAATTAAAACAAGCCAAAAATTGCTAGAATGTATTTATAACACATAAAATGGACAAGAATTAATATTTACATATGAAACTATATGCTTTTTAAAAAGGATACGCACATGGAAGAATAAAGGCTCTGTCATCTCCAGGAATGCTAAGTAATTACTTCAGAGTGACATCACTAGAGAAACTGTCACTTCAGAAAGGGCCATTTGCCCTGTCTTCTTACATGCATCAAGCCTAAAGAGTCTTTTGAGAGGGACATCCTTCACAAAGTAAAGCCAGAAAAACAGCCTTGATCACTAGCCTGGTGACTGCAGTAATTCATCACAGCCCCAGCTAACAAGTTCTTTGAAGTAACCTTTAGCTTCCATTAGCCTCTGCCCTCCCCCCCAAGATATCTGTTAATGATGTCCCTCGAATTTACCTTAGTGCAGAGATCCATTTGTCCTGTCTGTCTTCACAAATTGATTGTTTTCTAAATATCAAAGCATCTTGCTTTGGTTGTTTCTTCAGGCTTCACTGTCTTGTGAGGTTCTCTTAACCTCTCCTTAGATCCAACCAAAGAGCCTGCCAAGGGCTGAGGGTGCCAGTGCACTTTCCTAGGATGTGTGAGGCCCCGGCTTCCATTCCCAGAACTGCCACAGGAAGACTAAATGGGGGAGAGAGCTCTCCTCTCTCGGTCTCTTCCTCTCCCCTCCCTCCTTCTGTATTGCTATTAAAAATGCAAGAATGGATATTCGCAGAAGCAGCAGCAAGGAAATGAACATAAACACTTCCCTTCTCTGTACCTGTGTGAGATAAAAGTTTACACCTGTTATATTGGCAAGTCTCATAACAAGGGTTGAGGAGGCTATAGATGAAAGGTGGACGGCTCCCAAGACTTTTACATACTCTTGGTTGGAAATGGAAAACTCCAGCTGCTTTGGAAAACAGCTGTGTTACAAAATTAAATATTACATAATTTTTGAGCAACATTTGCATTCCTAGGTGTATATACCCCATACCCAATAGAACACTTGCTGGTGTGCCGTAAGATACATACAAAAAAGTGTTTATAGCAGCAGTGTTGGGTTAGCAGAAAAGCTGGAAACCACTCACACGTCCACTAGTGAGAGAATGGATAAACCAGAGCGTGGTCACACTGGGAATTCTATTCAGTAAGAGTGAGTAAATATAGATGTTATAGCAAAGTAAAGAACCCATAGATCTACTGTTACTGAAACTGAAAGAAAAAAAATTAAGAACATCATTTAAAGTCTCTAGAAATGAGTCTGAGGTTTTATAGGAAATTTAGAAATATCTGTTCTACTATATAGAAATAAGGCTACTAAAATTAATAAGAAAATGTTAAAGTACTTTAATATCGCTCCTTCCCCTACCTGTTGCAGCTCAATGAGATGGAAACTCATTTTAGACTCATTCCTGCTGCAGCCAGAACAGCTCTCTGAGGACTCTATTGGGAGGAGCAGTGCTTTAGGCTTTACTTTAGTACTTTACTGTGGGGAGGCAAAGAGTGGGAGCACCCTCCCCACCCATTCCTTATTTGTGGAGTGGAGTCTCTGCCTTGCATGCTCTTTCACTGGGAACACTGGGGACTTGGCTGCTCTTTTTCTGGCTGGAAAGGCAGAGAGAGTATTCAGAAAAGAAGATGAAGACCTGGGGTCCACTTGCTGGACCATCATGCTATTACTCAGAAAGAGTAGCATCATTGCCCTTACATCTGGCTGCAGAACTCTGGCCACAAGAGCTTTTTCTGCCTAGGTGATAGAAGCTGGTTGAATAAGTAGCTTCTGGGCTCTCTCCGATGGTAGTAGCCTCACTTTTACCATAAAGTAGACTTTGAAGCACTGAAGCACTCTCAGAAACAGGTACAGAGGCACACTACCACATGCCTGTAATCCCAATACTCTGGAGGTTTAGGCTGGAGGGTTGCTAGTGTGAGGCCAGATGAGCTCCATAGAAAGCAAAACCCTGTCTCCAAAGAGAGAGAGATAGGTGGATAGATGGATAGATGGATAGATAGATGGATAGATGGATAGATGGATGGATGGATGGATAGATAGATAGATGGATGGATGGATGGATGGATGAGTAGGTATGTGAAGGTTGTGGTAAAAGGCAGTTGAAAGGGCAGGGATAGAGTCAGTGAAGATAACAGGTTAAACTATGTGTTGGCTGCTTTGCAAAAGAACACTTAGGAAGGGAACAAAACTGGGGAGCCTTCCAGGGTCATAACAAATATTAATCACCCACGATGGGAACTATTCCTTCACAGGAGCCTAAATTAAAAAATGACCTCTAGAGCAGTGTGTGCCCAGGGTTCAAGTCAAATCAGCAGGGCAAAATTGTCTGGACTCGACACCTTAGTAAGGTCAGGAAGGAACTTAGAACTCCAAATCCTGTGCCGTTCCTGTGAGTGACTTAACAGTAGACCTCACTGGGGCGTTCTCTCAAGTGCTGAGCACTTTTAGAGTGTAGATTCAAACACATCTTTACTAAAAACTGTCCAGCCAAACGCTCAGCACATTCACAGGCAGTGTGGGCCATGGGGAAGGAGTGAGTACCCAGATTAGCACAATGGATTATCTAAAATGTCCAGGGCCCAACTGCAAAAGCCTGAGACTACAAAAACACAAGAACACGTAGGATCACTGGACAGAAGCAGGCAACAGAAATTGCTTGTGGACTGCAACCAGATAGGAGATTTTACAGGAAAAGACATCAAAATAACCCCTAAAATATGTTCAAAGGACTACAGTAAACTCTGATTAAAGGCTGTGACATTTCCACTTCTATTATTCATTGGAATGCAGGTAAATGATCAGAAGGCACTGAGCCAAATCAAGAATTCAGTAATTTTGCAGGCCAAATAATACTTCCTTTATGTATATGATGTCCTTCATCTTCATTTTTCATCGTGGATAAAATAATCTTGGTTACATTCCTACGGATCATGATGAACTGCAAAACAAAGAAAAACTAAGCCAAACCACTGACCCGTGGTCTCTGGGTAAATGAAATGATACAAAGCAATCTAAGATTTATTAGATTTTAAACTCATTTACCTGGCGTTTATCTTTTTGGCCTTTTGGTAAATAATACACTTAATTAATAGCAATTAATGAGGCTTATGTAAGTGCTGTCTGCATAGCACTTCCAAATAGACACTGGCAGATCCTCTCACCTGGTTCCTGTGGGCTCAGGTCTCTGCTGTGTACTCTCCTTGCACAGGTGATCCAGCCAGAGCGCCATCTTCCCTTTC